CAAAACAAGCCTAGGTCATATAGACATCTCAAGTTTTTTGCCACACCTTTTGAGCTCAAGACAATGATAGATATTTGGCCTTTTTTTTCCTACTAATAGAAAGATTTGGAGACATTGTGTCATTTTAGGAAGAAATCATTAGCTCTAGTTGTCATGCATCCATCACGTTGTATTTTGGCCCTATATCCTCTACTATTGTTAATTTTGCTTATTTTTCCAGATGATTTTGCTATATGAATTGAAACTTGGCTCTACTATTGTGAATGTAAATTTCACTCCTCAGCCCTAATTACAAGATGGCCTCAATTAAGAGTTGCTTATAAAGTGAAGTAAGCAATTGGCAAAAGACCTAGGAGGAACAACCACAATACAAGTAAAAGAGTTGAAATCAAGTAATCACAACATCCAAAACGAAGTCACAGTCCGTTCATTGGATTTTTACCAAGTAAAAAGTAAAAGTAAAAAGTAAAAATATATATTTTTAGATAGATAATTTTTTTATCTTTCCAATGACATAAAAATCATGTAATTACAAGATACTATGAGTAAGTTATGATAGATTAAAGATAGAATGTAAAAAATAGAAAAGTTAAGTGAATAATTTTTACCTCAACGATAACTTGCTTCTGAAATCAGGAGTTCGAGCCTCACCAAGGCTCATAAGTAGTGTATATCCCCCCTTTAAAAGGCCTTGAGGCCTTAGTCTTATCTTTTTACCTATACCCAAGGTGCTACAATCCATATGGGAATTGTGCACCTCTCTTCTTACAAGGACTATACTAGCTGCTGATCTTCCTATTTTCTACTAATAAAACTACTTTTTTTTTTTGCATTTTTGACTTCACCATGGTGTTTGAAAACATCAAATTAGCCTAGAAACCTTGCATAGTCTTCAAATCTTGCTTCATTTCTTCATAATGGCTCTCAAGGTGATAAAACTCAATTTTACCAAAGTCTTGAAATTTTCTCTAAAAATTCATAAAAAATTCTAAATAAATTCTAAATAAATTCTAAATAAATCCTATACTATTTATATAATACTAATATCCATACGAGGCTGTATTTTCCTATCTTAGTGATTTTTTATAGTAATAAAATCAATTTAAATCCACTAAAAATCTTATTTTATATATAATTAATTAAAAAGACATGAAGCTCTTTTTCATGCTTCTTCTAACTACTAACTAATCATTGATAGGATTTTATAAGTAATACATGTAAAAAGGAGCCAATGAAGATATTGGTTTCAATAACTAATTCTTAATAATTAACAATAAGAAAAATACTAAACTAACTAAGATAATTACCTCTAAGACTTACTAAGTCTCTATTTTTATAAATTTTCTTCTAATAACACTTTTTTAATTTATAAATACTTTTAAATTATAATAAATACTCAAATAGTCAAACAAAAACTCTCTATTCTTAACATTTGTATAATTGAATGACTTAAAACTATGTTTTTAACTAATCCACTAATTAAGATCAATTTGTGGAATTCACAACTATAAATTGATGTCAATATTTCTGGTACTTATTGCCCTCTATTTGTAGCCAATCTAGGATTACAAGATAGTTGCACACCTTTGAGAAGAACCTCTCTTTGAGATGTGATCAAGGGTCTTGGCCCTTAAAGGTGTTGTTCACATTAATGCAAGCCCTATATTATCTATAACATACTTTGCACCCTCCTAAGGAGTTTCATTAAGCACTATGAAAATTCTAGAGTTGACAATGGCATCAAGTGTAGGAGCAACTAGATTTTGTGAATTGTGATTACATGGAGACACGACATCTTCATCCCTATGCAACTTATTCCTTTGCAACTTGAGTGTTTCATATGTGATTATTGTGAAGTCTTACAGTTTTCTCAGGTTGCCAACTCATGTACTTGGACTCCTTATGTTTTGTTGCTTTGTTTATTGAAGATGCATAATTACCAGCAATTGAATGTGATTTTTAAAATTTAGTTGCAGGTTGTAATGTGTACAGAAGATTCAATATGTAATGAGTTGAGGGAGAAAAAGAAGACTTAAGTCTTCTTTGCGGTGCAAAGAATTGCTACATCCATTTGAAGGAAGGTTCTGTGAATCAACAGATTGGCACACTAGTTGTTTTAGGACAAAAGAATACATGTAGAGTGCCAAAATTACAATTATTAGCTAAAGATATGCTTAGAAGATATTAAAGAAAGAAGAATAGTATTAGCGGAGAAGAAATGGAGTCTTAGTAAGTCTTAGAGGTAATTATTTTACTTGAATTAGTATTTTTATTTATTATTGAGGAGTAAGGATTAGTTACTAAAATCAATATTTATATTGATCTTATATCTATATGTATTACTTGTACAAAAAATATAAATTTTAGTTAGTAGTTAAAAGAAGCATGAGAAAGAATCTCATGTCTTTTTAGTTATTTATATAGAAAGTAGAATTTATAATAGATTTAAATTTATTCTATTACTATAAAAAATCAATAATATATGAAATTATATCCTTAAATTTCTATTAAAATTATGGAAACATTATAAATTTTTTTAAAATTTATTTAGAATTTATTTAGAATTTATTTAGAATTTTCTAAGAATTTTTAGGGTAATTTTCAAGACTTTAGTAAAATTAAGTTTTATCACTCGGGGAGCCATTATGAAGAAATGGAACAAGGTTTGAAGGCCACTCAATGTTTCTAGGCTAATTGGGTGTTTTTAAATACCATGGTGAAGTCAAAAATGCAAAAATATTAATTCTACTAGTAAAAAATATGAGGACCAGTATAATCCTTGTAAGAAGGGAGGTGCACAAGTCCCATATGGGTTGTAGCACCTTGGATGTAGGTAGGAAGATAAGACTAAGGCCTCAAGGCTTCTTTAAAAAACTGGTTTACACTACAATGAGCCTTGGTGAAGCTCGAACCCTTGATCTATAAGCAAGTTACCCTTGAGGTAAAATATTTTCACTTCACTTTTAATTATTTACTTCCTTTTTTTTAAAACTTTATAACTTACTCATAGTAATTCGGATTTATATGTTCCTTACGTCATTGGAAAGATAATAAATTTAACTATCTAAAAACTTACTTTTTTCTTTTTACTTTTACTTTTTACCAGATAAAAATACAATGAACAAATTGTGACTTAGTTTTTGATTGTGTACTTGCTTCATGTCATTCATTTCAATTGTTTTGTGGTTGTTCATCTTTTGTTCTTGTTAATTGCTTACTTCCCTTCATACCACCAATTACAAGCAATTCTTCATTGAGGCCATCTTGTAATTGGGATTGAGGAGTGAAATTTACATTAACAAGTTCTCTAATAAAGCCAATGCCAAAGAAGATCCATTTGTGTAGGTTGTAGGTTAGTTTGGAAGTGTTGGAAGGAGAGCTTTGTAGCCTACTCATGAAGCTGCTTTGCTAAATTCTTGCTCCAAAATAATATTAGCTAAGAAAAAATTAGTTGCTGCTGAGAAAGAACAGCAATGACAATTTGATCTAAACATAGATTATGAGCAGATGTGGACACAGATATTGAATTGTACCCATTGACAGATGTGTTTAGGTCCATAGCTTGATGATGTTCAAATTTATCACATGTCTTGTTGAAGACGTTAGAATTGTTGAAGACGTTAGAATTTGAGTGTGCCTTTGTTGGTAGTATAGATTCAGAGGCAAGTACCTCTTATCTGATCAGTTCAATGCATAATCAAAATTAATCTCTTAAGATCAATATTAGCGAGTTATCCATGAAAGAATAATGTAAGTTTAAAGTTGGGCAATTTTTGATACAGTGAGTAGTCTATAGGCAAAATTAATAGTTGATAGGTAGGTATAGATAAGTAATGTACACAAATTTCTTCACATTTGTCATGAGGTTGGACACTCTGAGTTCAAGCTCCCAACCAGTGCCTGAGTTCATGGCCATGCAAACTGAGGCTCCAGAGAGTGTCCATTGTCAAGGCCAGTGTCTAAGGTGTGACCAAGGCTGCCTACTGCTTCTTTGGCAACTAAGAGAAATTCTTCAGAAAGTCCCTTAAGTATTATCTATGTAGGAATTTTGAAAGAGCTGGAGTTGACAACAAAATCCTTGGTTTAAAATAACATTTATGAACATAATTATTGTTTTATTAAAGTTACAATGCAAGTATATTTTGAAGTAAATTGTATTTTAAAGGATTCAACTATTAAAATTCATGAATTTCAATTATTATTTATGCATAGATAGAGACATAAATAAAATCAGATTGATTAAGATTGTAGTGTAAAATATTTATTATAATAATATTATAACACATATTGAGGCATTTCAAATGGATTACTCATTATAAAACCATCACATGGATAGAATCAAAACATCTGCACATTAGATTTAAGCAGAGAAACAGTTAAAAAACACCATGTATAATCATGCTCAAATTTTCATAGGTCTAATCTACATTTCCCATGAAGTTAGAATTTTAATTTTGAAGGTTTAATTAAAAAAAAAAAAAAAAATCTTATCACGATGGATACATTAAACAACACACATCAAAGCAAAAAAAAGTATAAGCAAAACATGAATTTACTGACATCAATAAATCCCAACTAATTTAACCTTAGGAAATTTTACCAAGCCCGGGAAGTATCTTTTTCAAGACTCAGAATTTTAGTCCACGTTTATTTGAAACAAGATTGACATGTGGAGTTGTCACACTTACTGTGTAACTACAAATTCTTCTCTAAACAATCCATGAGGTTGAACAGTTAAGAGAGTTACACCTGGGTGATACTCGGGCTGCGACATCGCCAACCAGATACCAGGCATCACGACGCCCGAGCCCGGTAACATCTTCGCCTCGGAATATTAACGGGTATCAATAAGGATATATGTAGTGGTATCAGTTGAGGGTATCAGTAGCCGGTAGAGACGGGAGAGACGGAACGCGTTCACACTGGCAATCGAAGAATGGGTTTGGTTGTGTACATATGGCCGAGCCTGAAGCGGAGTTCAAAGGCCTTCGTCCTTAAATCGTCCGTTGTTTCTCGTGGTCTGCCCTAGCTTAGCTGTGCTTTGCTTACCTTCTCCCCTGTTTGCTTTCTCTTTCAATCGGCTTTGCACTCTTCGTCTGTCACTCTGTGGTGTTTAATGAGGCCAGATCTCCAGCACCAGCGGTGCTTTTGATTGACATCAGCGAGCGAGCGAGAGCGAGAGAGAGAGAGAGAGCGAGCGAGAAGCAAGGGATTGAGAGAGCTTGAGAGGGCAAGATCGATCAATTGATCGAGCGTCATGGACACCGAGCTTACTAGAGAGGAGGTGAAACAACTGTGGAGATTGTGATTTTCATGTTTGGGTAGTAGTAGATTTTTGCGGTGACGTGATTTTGTGGTGTGTAGCAGTGATTCGTAGTGTGATAGAGGGCAGCTTATTCGGGGTATGGCAAGCGGTGGTGATGGGAAGTGGTGAAAGGAATGTTGGTCGGGATGGGGTCAGAGGTGAGGATTAGGGCAACGACAGAGGAGGAGACGATCCAGTGAGGGATTTTAGGTTTAATGGTAGGGAGATTGGTTTTTTGAGTGATGGATGGTGGGTTTGGTTGTGCGCAATAGTAGGACTGATGGAGAGATGATTTGATTGTTGTAGGTGTTGAAAAGGGATATCCCATGGGAGACGTACATGACAGCCAAGCTGATCAACAGCACTGGATTGCAACTACTCAGGCGGTATGACCACCGTCCGGACAACGTGCAAGCTGCATTGCTGGATGAGGTAAATATTTTCACGTTTTGCTGAATTTCTTGCCCTGCCATTGCTCTCTGGTCGAGAGCTGCAGGACACTTCTACCTAGCGATTAGCATCTGGATAGAAACGTGCTGGCTTGTTATCTCAACTGGGGTGGATCCATGTTGCCAATTCGGTGTGCAGCTGAACCGAATTCAACTGCTGCTCGCTGAGTTTCTGTGAAGGAAGATAGTATACACCTGAGTAGATTGTACTGGTTCCGTTCGTCAAGCAAGAAAACAACCAATCTTGAGTAGATTGCGGTTAAACCTAAAACAAAATTTGCCGGGTTTTACTGTAGAGACCAATTATGACCTTCATGTCAGGATCTAAATTGGATTTCAGTTTTGGAAACTTGCATTGTTATAATCTTAGTTTTGATCCCTTTCTTAAGAATATCGTATATTTTTCCAGTCACAAGTGATATGGAGATACGTCTATCATTAGCGGTTCGTAGAGTACTGAATCTTCTTCACTTAAATTTACATCTATGTTTAATTAGTATTAGTTTTCTAGAATTTCGTGTTTTCAAGAATAGACCATTTGAGTCGATTTATGGTTTTTTTTATTGCTGCTGTTCGTAATGCGAAATCCAAATATTGGTTTCCTTACGGTACGGATTGTTGATATTGTTTTTCTAAGAATCTTTGTACCTGAATTGGGAATGCAGAATGGAGTAGCTTACGTCAAAGTGTTCGTGGGCATTCTACGAGACATCTCCAAGCAGGAAACTGTTGAATATATGCTCGCAATGGTGGACGAGATGCTCACAGGTACTTTGCTAAAAAATACGCGATCTTAAGTTCGTATGTGCACGACAGTTTGTTGACAGGAATCACAAAATGATCGTGAATTGGTGGTTTTCTGGACTGGGGTTAGACTGCCATTGCTGGAATTTTACTGAATTTTGATATCTTCCTATTCTCGGCCTCGATTTGCAAGTCGAATGTGTTTAAAGTAATAGATATCTAGTATTTATGAGCGGCGACTTCAAAGACATGATGTAGAGTGTTCATCGACGTGTCGTTTGATAATGTGGGGATACTATATCATGGGAGGGCTATATGATCATAACTTAGTTGAATAAATTTCTGTCCTCATTTTGGCAGCGAACCCAACGCGTGCTCGTTTATTTCATGACAAGTCTTTCCAAGACAATGAGGATGTTTACCGACCGTTTGTAAGGTTAGTTCCTGCTCATTTACAGGCTCATTCATTTTTGAAGTACTGAGAGAGTGTTAGAGATAGAGAAAGAAAAAGAGAAAGAGAGTTCCTCCTCCCACTTATCATATTACCGCGGGTCTGCTTCAGGTTGCTGTCAAAGAAGAATTGGTTTATTCAAGAGAAGAGCTGCAAGATTCTCACATTGATTATCAGGTAAGTAATCTATAATTCTGACATTAGTTACCGGAAGGGGCATTTATAGATGTGCCTTTTCTTTGGTCAGAGAACGCTTTAAAAGTTATTTTTACGTTGAATGGTAATGTCTCACCAATATTTCACATGAATAAGCACAATTCCTTTTTATATCCGCGAGGTGCTTGACTGATCAAGTTTGTGGCTAGGGTGTTGCAGTGCCCGGCAGTATGAAGAGACAGATCTTGAAGATATTACAGCTTCACAGAAAAAGGCAGACACATTTAACGAGGTTCTCCGGAGTGTTCTGGATTGGCTCATCACACAGGTAGAGGTCCTACCTGTTTGGTTTAGGAAGCTTCATTTAGGGCTGTTTGATTTGACTAGCAGATTCATCATGGCGTGGTTCGTTTCTTGCAATAACATTCAATATAGCTTGAAGTTTAATTCATAAATAATTTAACCGGTGGCATCTGTGTGCAGCTAAGAAACCCGTCACATCCATCTCGGGGGATTCCCACTGCTGTGAGCTCTTTGGCAACCCTCTTACGTGTTTCAAAAGTGCGAGCTATGTTTGTGAAGGCTGATGGCGTCAAGCTTCTAGCTCCCTTAGTTACCCCTGCTACCAACCAGCAATACATTCAGGTCATTATCCTCCCCCTCCTATTGCTGTTATTAATGATGCACTTTTACTGCCGATAGTGTTGTGGTGTCTAAGCTTTTTCTTATAGGGTGTTTAGGTAGATTAGATTTAAGTTTCTCTTAGTTGTCTGTGAACTTCTATGATCCTCTTGTTTTCCTTTTTGAAACTGACGTACAGATTTTATTCTAACAACTTCTCAAGCCCCTAATTGTTGCAGCTGCTGTATGAGGCGTTGCTGTGCATATGGCTTCTATCTTTTTATGATGGTGTTGTGGAATCGTTTTCCACAGCGAGAGTCATATCCCGCCTAGTGGAAGTTGTGAAGATATCCACTAAAGAAAAGGTGTTTTTGATGCAACCTACAGAGCTTTAGTTTGTAATGTCTTGCTTTTGAGTTTGTTTTCTCAAGCAACAAAGTCTTTTTAATACGCTTGCACAGTGGGATTGGGAATAAACTTCATGACAGCTGTATTGTGCTGTGCATTGCGATTTCTCTCTTTTCGTTCGGCAGATTACATGATAGTTAATCAATGGCAAAACTGCAGTTTGCAAATCTCATCTTTGTACCTCTTTATCTCTCAGTTACTCTGAGTTGCTTCAATTAGGAGAAAGTATTCCTCTGCAGCATCTTTAGTTATTTGAATGCTGACTGATCAAGCTACTGTGTACAACAGGTTGTGAGAATTGCTATGATGGCATTAAACAACCTTTCAAGCAAGGGGAACTTTGCTGCAGAGATGGTAGATTTGGGCATGTCCAAGGTTGTACAGAGCTTGAAATTGCAAGCATGGAATGACGAGGTCAGTTTCTACTAATTTCTGTTCTTAGCTGCGAATGGTGATTGTATATTTAAACTACCAAACTAAACTTGCCACATTTAATTGTGGAGCTGAGCGGTGGCTTGTAATCCCTTTCAAATGCCTCCGCATTGAACCTTATTGACATCAAAGAAGGAACCTAACATCAAACACACACTTTGGGTGCTTTTTGCAGGACTTGTTGCAAGCGTTGGATGTAGTAGACGCAGCTTTGAAGGATATTATACGCAAGTTGAGCTCATTTGACAGGTACAAAGGTGAAGTATTCTCCGGGAATCTGGATTGGTCTCCAATGCACAAAGATCCTGTGTTCTGGCGTGAGAACATCTCCAAGTTTGAAGAAAGCGACTTTCAGGTTCTTCTTGACGTCTTCAATGTTGTTCTCTTTCTTCCATATTCTTCTCCTTCCTTGTCTCTCTGGCTCACTCCGTCTCTTGCTAACAAAATTGCAATTGACACATATACACAAATATATATACGCGTGCACGTCCATTCAACTCTTAGTTTTTTAATGAATCGAACAAAATTTCTCGCACGTTCCTAAAGATTGTCGTTGGCTGTGCGTGAAGGTACTACGTATTTTGATTACGTTATTGGACAACTCCCGAGATCCTAAAACCCTTGCAGTGGCTTGCCACGATATAGCCCAGTTTATTCAAAATCATCCAGCTGGTCGAGGGATCATCCTTGATTTGAAGGCCAAGGAGCGGGTGATGAAGCATATGTCGCATCCCAATCCTGAGGTTGCAACGCAAGCCCTTCTATGCGTGCAGAAAGTGTTACTTAGTGCCAAGTATGCAAGCTACATGCAATAAGTCACTGGTGAGATTTTTTTTTATAATTTTCTTCCTTTTGCTTTCTTCATCCAGCTCATGATGCCCAATAACTTACTGGGAAAATGCTCAATTGTCTTTCATGAAGCTTTGATGATGTACTTGATTGAGGGGCCAGTTAAGCCCCTGCAATTCTGCAAATAATGTACCACATTTACACAATCATTTACAATTTCCCCTACATCATGAGTTGGAATGCGTGATTTTGTTTTATGAGTTTTCTTTGTTCACTTCTGTTTCTTATGTTCTGAATACAGTTCTAAATACTTCAATCTTCGGCTGAGTACGTTGATAGCGTGGTTCAGTTTCCAAGCATTAACACAAGCAGACCTACTGTGTATTTCTTAACGACTGCTCCCACGGGCATCCCTTGATTACCCCTTCATCCGAGCTGGTCGTCCGCTATTTCAAGTGCAGAAAGATATGCATGCTTATCAAACTCGCTAAGACGCTTGTATGAGGTTGTGTCGAGTTCCATTCCTTGTTATATATTGAACAACAGCAGTTAGAATAGTGGCTTGCTCTTGAATTGAAACTTTTCCTTTTCAGGAACCGAAGTCGATAATCCTGTGCTGTCTTTATTAACGATGGACATATATTATGTCATATGTGTCTCAATTCACTTGACATTGACAGTATTCTTAATGGTAGGAGTCGTGCTATCGACAAATGAGTAAGGTGGACTGCCCTGTCCTTATCGTGCGCAAAGTGTATATTTTGAGTAAACACTAATAGATCTAAATCAAACAAAGCACATTCATGGAGATGGAAATGTAAGTGGGTGTTGAATTTTGAAGTGCATATAATATTGAGGTCTTTAGGTTTATGGGAGAAGGTGAGAGTTTGCAAAATATAAATCTTGTGACCATTTGAAATTGAAAAGGATCCTTTAGGTGGCTTTATACTAAAGAAAAAACAGTCCAGAGTTAATGTGAAAAAAATAAGGTGGAATGTATTTTATTTCCAACCTGTGTATAAGGTTGTTAGGAAGGTCTATGAAAATTAAAAGGAACTATTTAATCAATGTTTGTTTAAATAGTCATGTTCAAGACTTAAGTTGCCATAATTATGATTGTAACTAAAACATGACCTAGTTTATGTCATAGCCTCTTTTTGCTTGATGCTATCTCCAAGGCTTCTAAAAGACAATTACACTAAGGGAACTTCAGAAGGCTTTAGAACTCTGACCTTACAAAGCTACCTTCTAAGACTGAAGACAGTGGAAGTTGGCTCAAAAAACATTATTAAAAGGTTAAAAACTTTGTTATTAGATGATTTTAAAACAGTATGGTACTCAAAATACAAGAGTTATAACAACATCCATTACAAAATTCAAACTCATATAAACTATGTTTTTACTTATTAAGTAGAATTATAGTATTAATCATAATTACAACTTGTTCTTTTTGATCAAGTTATCAAAAAAAAAATTAGATAAAAAAACACTTGTCAATATTTGTAATTTTCTTTGTTTAATTCAAGCCATAATATATATAAAAATTTCAAAAAGATGTATTAAAAATAAATAAATTATATAATTACATAATTCTCTTTCACTAATATAATCCCCCCACTCTCCTTACATCCTTAATATGATGAATGTTAAGCAAGAATAATTATTCTTCTACTTCATCTAGTGATATGGAAATCAATTTTATAATATATTGACATCTTAGTTTGGCCTAATGATATGTTTTTAACTAAAAAGATTCTTGATATGTATTCTAAGTTTTACATTATTTTTCTCTACAAGTTCAATAGATCATTTGTAAATATAATTGCATTTATTATGTCTTGGTCATATTTTTATGATTATAATGTGATGTTAAACATGCAAACTTCACAACTTGTTCTTACATCTAAAAAGTTGTAGTACCATCATATTTGCAAATTATGGACTATAGTACTAGATTAATTTGCATCAAATTAAATTTGTTTGTCAATATATTTTGTTAAAGCTTCATTAGAATGTTTTTCTTTCCTCTCATATCTCTTCCTCTTATATGTATTCATTATTCATAGCTTCATTCAAATTTTGGGGCTTGACTATTTTGAAACCTTCTTTTCTCTTGTCTACGTCTAATCCATTCGGCTAATTTTGGCCCTTACAGTTCAAATAAACCTCTATGTCTATCAATTGGATGTTAAAACAACTTTCTTTAATAGTTTATTTTGCAAAAAGAATTAAATACAAATCCTAGATGGTGTCACTTCTCTGCACCATGGCTTCATATGTTACCTCAAGAAAACCTTCTATGAGCACAACTAGTCTCCTTGAAAGTGGTTCAAAGTTATCAACTCCATTCTAGTCACTTTTGGCTTTGTTAATTCCATTGTCAATCACAACATATACTACCTCCACCATAGCCATGACTTTGCTATACTCACATTATATGTCAATAAAACTATGATTGCTAACAATTGCCTCCTCCTTCTCCAATCAATTAAGAATCAACTTCACTCCAAATTTTTACTCTTCAGCTTTGACAAAGTCCACTACATCCTTAGCCTACAAGTCATCTGCAACATTCACTATGGTTGGCTCTAAATCACCTAGAACTTCTACTTCAAATAAAATTTGGTCAAATTTGGATTCTTTCATATTCAATCCATCTTTATTTCTATTGCCCTTAGAACACTCTTCTTTATAGCTTACTACCCCAAGCAAATCATTGATAACCCTGACTCACAAATTTCCTTTTCATTTGTCCACAATGTGTGTTACTTCAATTGAGCCAACATTTCCACCTAATCCAATTTGGCCTTCAAGGTTAGTATTTTATTTCAATATATACATAATCTCAGCCAAAAACATATCTAAGCTTATAAGCATATCTTTTATTATATCCATGTTTTGCTCAAATATAAACTAGAATACTACTATATAATATACCTTTGTACTTATTTGGCTTCAGCAATACCAACTAGACTAGCAAAATAGACCAACATTGCTCTACTTTAGGCTACATATTCTTTTTGACTCAAGGCAATATTAGTTGATATTCTACTCGCTAAAGATCTACTATCTTTTCTAGTATCAAAGTCAAACATATGGTTATGGCTTTGATGGCTTCAAAAATAATTTGGCTTTGATACTTGCTATACAATCTGCTTTAATTGAAATTGTAAATAGTGTCACTTTTATTTGGTGTGACAATTAGTGTGTCTTAGTTTTAATTGATACTACAAAATTTCACTTTTGTACAAAATATATATAATTATTTTTTACTACTTCATTTGTAAACTAGTAGCTCACAAAAACATTCAATTCAATAAGTATCCAACAATCTAAATGAGAGCTGATCTATTTATATAAGCTCTATTAGGATCAAAGCTTGTTTAACATCTTCCAATGATTGGTATATGCAAAGGAGAATCAATCCTATATCACACTTTGTTTAAATGAGAGTATTAAAAAATAACAATTATTATAAACTAATTATGATATTCTATTGTATTTATTATAAAATCATATCATATTGATGAGTCACAATCTTTTTAGCTATATCTTCTTTGACAATATATAAATAAAATTTAAATATAATGTTAAATAAGAAGAAAATATATTACTAAATAAGAACTATTAAACCCTGAAACATAATTTATTGTCACAGACATACACATGTAAACCAATAATTATCTACATGATTAGATAAAAGTAGATAAAAATAAGTTAATTCCATAATATCTTCTATAGAAGCTTCATAGACATTGCTTTGACTTTATAGGTGTCTATAATTGACTTTTTAGGTTAGAAACGTGGTCAACAAGTTAGCCATGTGCCACACATGTTAATAGCTTGAAGAACAAGCTTACTATATGGTACACATATAGAAAACTTGCATTGTAAGTTAAGGCATGTATCTTGCAAAGTCAACACATATTAGAGGTTCTATAGGACATCACCATGTAGCTCCTAGTCACATAGTATATATAGAGGCAAGAATGAAGCCCTCTGCACTCTTGTCAATTCTTCTCTTGATTCTAGTCTAGATTCAAGAGTCTCTAGTTTCCTTGACTTTTGGCAATAGCCATTTCAGTTTTCTTTTAATATACATACTTCTTTATTTCCATTTTGTTATACTTGTTAATTTTCTTTCATCAAGTTCTTGTCCCTAATACTTATAAGTTTTAATAATTGTATGGTTGCTTTATTATCTATTTACATGATGAAAGAAGAATGTGTTCAACCTTATCTAAATGGCATTAAAATAACCATTGTCACTTCAAGACATATGTTCAATCTTTGAGTGAAAATTAAATATCCACCATCAATAGAATTGTCAAGTTTAGTCGCAATTAATGACTAGTTATTAGAATATATTAAAACAAAAAACATATTTTTAAAAAAGTAATAGATGCTTCATTATTAAAATGATGCACTTTTTGTAATCAACATCTTAAATTCTTAAATATCAATATATGATTATATGCCTTTCTTTTTTTGTATTCCTGATTAAGCCATAGATTTAGTCATAATATTGGCTTTTATTATGTCTACAGCTTCTATGGTATGAACAACAATCAATTGTTGACTCACCTCCTAACCTTCACCATCTTGTACAACTATTGGCTTCTTCATGAGGGCCTTGTTGGCCTTTGGAAATGATGAGGTCTTTATTACCTACAATGTTGTATACTTGGATTTTTTTGTATATACCAAGAACCTCTTGTTTTTGTCAATTTGAAGAATCAAAAAATTTATCTACAATCATAGCAATATCTTTTTTAGATGTATTTTAAAATATTTAACATGGTTCTTATATTTTAAAAAAGAATTAAATATTTTAGTTTTTTATATATTTTTTGGTTTATTAAAAAAATTTTATAATGTTTGGTTGTTTTAAAATATTTAAGGAATTTGCAATTGATATCAAGTTTAATGCTCATAAAATTGGTACCTTTGCTTAAGCAATGCATAGATATAATTTTCTTCTATTGTATTTATAAATAATTAAATAATATTTTTTATAAAATCTTATTTTAAATCTTTACATTAAAAAAAATAGAATATAAGATTTAAAATTTTAAATGGATAGTAATTAAATATTACTCCTTGAAACAAATATAATCATTTTGACCTTTATTTTAAGTTTGATAAGATTGTGCTAGTTTTTCTTTTCTTTTCTTTTCTTTTTTCTTTTTTCCATCTTTATTAGCGTATACTAATGTATGCTAAAATATGAATTAATAATTTAGAAAAGAATTTATCTATATAAAATAAAATTAATAATATAGTTTTTATTTAAATGCATGAAGGTTGTTATCTATATTGCAAAAAATATCATCAATTCGCATCAAATTTGACTTGTGAATATTTAATAATTAAAGTAGGTGTATCTTTATATATACAGTTGTACAAGAGGTATTATTATTATTATAAAGATCTTAATATTTGTAGAAAAGCACATGGCTTCTTATTTTCCCTAGTATTGAGATATAGCCTCCAAAATTTGTGAACGTAACTATGTCAATTGACATGTTAACATGCATACTGGACCCAGACAAGAGGCTAATTGATACCTACATGGTAATCAAATTATCAAAAGCAATTATCTGTGTTTCATAAGTTGTGTTGATTGTAACTTCAGTAGAAGTATTTTTATTATTAATAATTATTAATATTATAAAATAAATGTATAAAAAAATATTTAATTCTACTAGCAAAAAAATTGTAAGAAATAAATATAAATAAATAAATTAATATATATTACATTTTTTCAAATTTCTAATATAGTTATTCTATATTAATAAGAAAGTATATCAACAAATTTATCTAATAATCATTCTTTAAAATTTTAATTCTTGATAAAAAAATAAAAAAATAGTAAGAAATATAGTGGTTGTTATTAAAAGACTATCTTAAATTAAAAATTTGAATTTATACGAATAAAAAAATTAATTTTTATTTTTTTATAGCAAGATAAGTTATTTAATAGCATCTTATTACAAACCATTTTTTTTTTGTTAACATCCAAAATATTTTTTTCTAATTTCAAATGACTTGGATTTGTAGAATAGGATAGCTTAAATAAGGTAGACATACAAAGACTTCCAAGACTTCTTGATGGATCAAATGACAATGCCTATTTGTTAACCATATATATACAATTCTTATTGGATCAAATGATAAGACCTATTTATTGATCACATATGAAGGCTTTTCACTAATCAGTTGATAGTAGATTCTCATTAGACTAAAGAAAATACAATAAAAAGAAATTTAACAAATACAAGAAGGGTGTTGAGGTACTAATAAGTAATAGATTGAGAAATTTGATTTAGCATTTAGAATTTTTTAAGTATATAGTATGTTTTAAAAAGTAAAAAGAAGCACTTAGTGGACAATATGCATCTTCTATATGAATCTATATAATTAAAGGTTATAATATTGTATTTTAAAGTGATTATTTATGTAAAATATTGAGATTTTTTTTGAACTTTGTTAAAGTTTTGAAGAAAAAAAGATAGGCAAGTCTAATATGCTTGCTATCTAAGCATGGACAATCTACAATAAAACTTGAAAGTGTCAAGTTTGACCACGTTCTAAAGCATAATGAAAACTCCTGACCCTCCAGCAAAATCTTCCACATCTTAGAAGCAGAACTGACAGTTGGACTCCATGGTCTTCAAAACTAGAAAATTATCTTTTATGTCACAATACAAAATTCCTCCAACGCCACCCTTGAGAACTGGGTCCCCATGGTGGGTAAAAGGACACGGTGTGAAAAGGGATCCTGCCAGAAGGAAACAGCAACGAAATTACCATCCGACACCACCAAGTCAAATCGTTGACCCTACGATGGCGGCGTGGATTACGAGGTGGCTCCGATGACTAACAATGAAATCACTCACAAATATGATGCGTGACGGCTCTGTCGAACATGAACCCTGTAGTCGAAGGAGCAGCATGTTTTCTAGCGCCGTGAACGAGATGCTCAACCTAATTGTTGATTTCCGCGTTAGTTTTGAAGGGTATTTTGTTGTTGTTGGTGACATTGTTTTTTTCGGTAATCTTACAGAGTTGTAGATTCCGATGAAGCCTCGAACCTGGGCAGGTATCCCGATCCTGTTCGTTAATTCAACTCAAGAGGAAAGAGTCCAGAGGATGTAGACTCAGCCGAATGTGCGCAGTGCACGAATGGGCAGGGGACTATCTGCCTTCCATGTTAACTGAAGAAACGCACCCTATTTCATCTCTGCTGGCGCTGGTGGTGGTGACGGCTGTGGGCGAGTTGAAATGGCGTCCAGTATGGGTATACGAAGAGTTGGCGTTGGATAAATCGGAGTCATACCAGCGTGGTCTCGGGGTAGATTGATAGCTCTCGAGGAGATGTTTGAGGAGATATTCGGGAAACTCTCGCGCGCCGATCAGCACCTGGACCACTTGCGTGATGGAAGGCCGGGACGTTGGAGCGTCGTTTGTACACAGAAGGGCCACCTTTAACACCCTGATGGCTTCTTCTTTGTTGAAGTCGTTTTGAAGCTTTTGATCCGCATAGCGAAGCATCAGCTCTTCTGCGCCTGTTTCGTGAGCTTTTCTGGACAAGTCCCGCATCTGCATCCAAACAGAGTATTCAATCGAGCGCAAGGATGGTTTACACTTGATTCTGAGCATTGAAGATAAAGGAGCACTTGTTCGCGCGAGCGCGGAAGCGTGTGTACATGTGGGCGAGAGAGAGAGAGAGAGAGAGAGTGTGAGAGAAGATGCACCTCGTCAATAAGGCAAATCGAAGATCCAAAATCGGTGATGCTCATGGTAGCCCTACCAGTGACAATCTCCATCAATAGGACGCCAAAGCTATACACGTCCACCTTCTCTGTAAGCTGCCCGCGCGTCATCTCGGGAGCCATGTAGCCTCTTTTATGCAATCCCCAACAACAAACAGCTGCACGTTAGATTCCTCGAAGTGTTGTTAAGTGCACAAAACTATGATTGGAATCCATTCGTGAATCTGTGCGACATTGGTGAACTAGAATGGACACAATTATTCTGAATTTTAGGTTAGAGACACCCACAATGTGCCTGCAATGGCTGTTGTCAAATGTGTTCGTTCATCTGGGCAGAGCTTGGCTAGACCAAAGTCAGAAATCTTGGCTTCGAGGTTAGCGTCCAGAAGGATGTTGCTTGCTTTGATGTCCCTGTGGATAATGCGAGGAGTAATTTCCTCGTGCAGGTATGCCAGACCTCGAGCAGTTCCAACCGCAATGTTGAATCGAGTTGGCCAACTGATATGTACCACTTGCTCCGGGGCCCCTACACTTCCGGAATTGATTTTAGGGTATACTGTAATATTTTTAGACATCGATCTTCATGTGCAGAAAATTGCTAAGTGAAGCTTCGGAAGAAGAGGATTACCCAACATGGTTTCACGAAGACTCTTGTTCTCCAAATATTCGTACACAAGAAGTCGGTGACGTCCCTCGACACAGCAACCCCGCAATTTCACGAGGTTCCTGTGCTGCACTTTGCTGATGATCATCACCTCTGCCAGAAACTGAGGCTTCCCTTGCTTGGAGTCTTCAGAAAGCCTCTTCACTGCCACTTGCGAACCATCCCTAATCTTTCCCTGTCCAGAACCACCACAGCAGGTCAACTCTGGCAATCCGGCTTAACCTTGCACGACCATGAAACTCAAAAGTTTTTGGTCTTTGCCCTCCAATTATTACTTCAAGAACTATCAGCTGTCATGTTCCGTGATAGGCAATTTCGAGGGTGCTTACCAGGAAAACTTCTCCAAATCCACCTTCGCCCAGTTTATTGTCTTTGTGAAAATTTCGAGTGGCCTTTTTCAGCTCTTTATACGTGTACAAATTCGTTGATATAGACGCCTTTGCAAAATCTGAAGGCAAAAACACACCACCAGATTTTCAATGAACTAATTCCTTCTATGCTTAATCGACCATATATGTATTTGTATCTAAATGTATGTATATGTAAGTGTGAAATGAGAGGAGCGCTCAATTCTGCTTGAAGTTACGGAGCGAAGCGTTCAAAGTTTCACCCTCACCTTCTTGGATCTCTTGAACGTATCTCCGGGCAGCTCTGTATTTCAAAGCAAAGACAGCAATGATAATTATCAGTACGATGACGACAACACTCGTTCCCACCGCGGCTAGATACACTGGAACAAGATTACGATTCTTGGTGTTCCGGAAAGTGCAAGTGCCGCAACACAGCAGATTCTTGTAAACCTTTTCCTGATCCTCGTTGAGATACATATTTTGCTGACACAGAGGTTTAAGATTGGGGTCGACAGCTTTGGTGCACCCGCTAAGGTTAACCTGCACATTAAAATCGAGGAACTCCTGTCATCTTAAAAGGTGTGATCAGCACGTCCCATGCAAACCAACAAGATCCACCGGGCGTTGCTCAGGCTTCAGAGATCCGCGTCCATAACATCACCCAGAATATTCGTGAAATTAAAATACCATGTCAAAAATCTTACTTACGTTTTTTAAGTGACACGTCAATTGGGCGGTGGGGACATTTGGATCAACAGCTTTAGACTTGATGATGGAATTGTCTCTCTCATCAACAAACACGTCAATGCCGGCGACGCCATACAACGTTCCGTTCGCGTATACTGCAAATGAACGAATGACAACCCATTGCGATCAGTTAACATAAAGTCTCTGCCTCAATTGTACCCAGTCTCCTTAGCTATGCATCCAGCAATGTTGATAGAGTTCAGGTCTAGGGTGGGGATCTGCGAACCAGGGTGAGCAACAGTGGCGACCTCGCCTAAACCATCGAAATCCATGTATGGGTCGGTCCAGAAACTGCCATTCGTGCTTGAATTTCGGAGTTGCGCTTGGTAATCGTAGTAGGGGCGAATGGCCCAGAGAGGATTCCAGTGAGCATCTAATTGGCTCACATAAGTCACGGTGCTGTTCATAGAACATGAGACTTTGCGGAGTTCTGTAAGTGGATCTGGGGGGTTGTCAGCTTCACCCGGCCCAATGCTGAAAAAGAATACCACGACGTTGTTCGTTTTGAGGGTTGCAACTTCGCGCTGAAGAGCGGGGTCGTAGAAGGTGGAGCTCTTGGAAAAGTAGCCGTCGGTGAATACCAAAAATATCTGCCGATGGGATTATCCAAAGACGACGCATGTGCGTAGGTTTAGAGGTATTTGAGAGAAAATCTCCCTGATTCTGAAGAGATCATTGGGAAAATGGAAAACACATATCACAGACGGTTTGGGGATTGACAAGGTACGAAGAACCGCACCTTCAGCTTACTTAAAGGTTGAAGCATCGACCTTGCTTGCTTAAATCCTCCACTGATGTTTGAGTAACCATTAGCTGTATTCTTCACGCTGGACAGCTCAAACCTCTTGGACAACTCTGCGGCATTGCTATCTTTTCCAATGCGCAGCTGCAGGTTGACGGCATGATCCAGAAACGTCGATTACTATGTCAGAAAATTTTACTGTATCTATCACGCAACTTCGGCGCAATGGGAAAAAAAAAAAAAAAAAAAAAAAAAGAAGAAGAAAAAGCAACGATAAGTCATTCCGAGTAGTAAGAAAAACACTTACCGAACTCGGTTGCAGTGGAGTCGCGGCTGTGGAATCAAAAGTAACCACATTTACCAAATCGTCGATCCGAACGGTATCAAAAAGTTCTGAAACAACATTCACAGCCAACTTAAAGGCGTCGACATTTTGCTGTCCGGTGTCCAGAAGGATAACCAGATCTTTGACCACCGCCGTTGCCAAGATATACCACGGCCGTTTGCGGGGATCGTAGGTTATGCAACCCCCATTAGGATCGGCTACCTGTCAAGGAATTGTTGACCACACATTCATGCATGCTGTGAGACTTTGCAATCCCACGGAAACAAGAACTTGTAATAAAAAAAAGTGGTAGACTCATGGGACAGTTTGAAAAGTACTCGTCCAGGAAAGCTTCTCCAAACACCCTCTGCAGATCCGAAGTAGTTCCAGAAAGTGTGGGTAACCTCGCTGCTCGATTGGAACGCAAGATTTGACTGGGAGCAAATTGCTCTCGTGATTTCCGGCCTCAGCTTGTCATTCGAGTAGTCGATGATGGGTGGCGGAAGCCTACAAGCGAAGCAGTTCAAGAAATGCATATTTTGTGAGTCGCTGCTCGGTTGATACAACACTGCATTGAGCACAACTTGGGGGCACATCATACCGAGCAAGTGAATTAATCCACTTACCGGACGAAGCCCTTCATGTCAAAGCTGAGCTTCAGCTGTAAGCATGGTTTTCCAGTGTCAAGAGATTGGCAATCCGAAACGTTTCGCAACGTATTGGCACACACAAAATTGTCAGTGTGAACGGCCGAGCAGGCATGACGCGCGCAATTGTCGATGCACAGCGTAAGCCCTGCAGAGGAAGAACCAAGAGACAAAACCTTGGTAAGTACTCAACGTTGGAGCCCCCATCGTGGTGATCTAGTTTATGGAAATCAAGAATTGCTGTATTGCCCGTAGAAACACCGATCTGTGAAATCAATGGGGAGGCCTGTCGTGTATTCTTCGTATCATCTGCTGTTCAATCTGCAGTGTCAGATGGACGTGTCTCCAGAAAACGAATGCTATGAAGAATTGGGCACCTCACCGCATTCATCCGTATCTCGCGCATTATGGAGAACATCGGATGCCAAACGCTGAACCTTCTTCTCCTTAACGCTGAATTCTTCCAGTGTCATCGACTTCGAAAGCAATACCCAGGGCGACGCAAGGAGCAGCCACCACACCAACACCAACGTTCTCAAATCAATTCCCATCACTCCAGCAGTGTCTTGCTCCTCGAAAACCCAATCTTTCACCGATCCTCGTTTTTGCTCCGCATTTGTGACACGGAAGTTTCAGGACTCAAGACAGAAAGTCAAATATTCATCTGTCCCTGTTGTCTCTTTCGCCTCTCCACCCTGCATCGAAGCCATCAATCGTCGCGCAGCGCTGATGCGACGCCAAAAGAAAAGTAGCTGACTCTCCAAACAGACATGATCCTCATCTGTCAGGCCTCCACAGTCAGACATCCCACTTCTCCTCATTACTATAAACACCTTCCACTACACTGCACCAGTATTCGTTTCAGACGATCGATTCTCGTGCATGCTTGCGCAAAACCATCGACCAGCAGATGTTTTCACGAGTGACCAGTCACCCGCAGCCTCCGGCCGCGATCAGCTAGAAAGACTTGAGATACTACCTTTCTTGCCGCACTAACAAGCACTAGTTCGTGGAGGATCGACACCAGCCTAACAAGCCTCGTCGCTAACAAAATCCCACCCATGAGCACTGTCCAGATAAGCGAACCTCATGCGGCGATCTCATTTACTCTCAGAACCCCTCTCTCGCGTGCTGTCTCGCTCTTACTCGAAAACAATGACGGCGATGCAACAATGAAAGCCGGGATCGACAGGAAGGAAGAAGCACCCAGAAGCCGAAGGGAGGAGGTGGAGAGCTGCAGGCGGTGAGGCAGTAGAGACGAAGAATCAATGAATCCATCAATCAATCAATCTTCGTCGGTCTAGCACAGTTTGGTATCAAACCCATGCAAATGGTCCCGCACCCACGAAATCTATTTCCAGATTAAGACAAAACATAGGCACCAGCAAGTCAATCTCCGCCATCTCAATCTGAGGTCCACTCGTCCTTCCTGTTTTTCGACGCCCTCGGCCGATGATCTCCCCGCGCCCGGCGTCGCGCGCGGTCAAACCCCTTCGGTGGGCTCGTGCCGCCCGCGGCAACTTAGGGGTCTTATCACCGTGGAGACGGGATCCCGTGGGCTTCGGTGGCGTTTCCAAGTTGCATGCCGCGGTCCACGTCAGCGTGTGGTCGGACTTACGTCATGACTTGTTTGTATGGCATTTTGGTATTTATTTAGGGTGATTGGAAAAGTGGATGAAGTTTCTCACTTTATTTTTGTATTTTTGTTTTGTTTCCTTTCCTTCTTCAAGGCATAGAAGGGTTTTTTTTTTTTTTTTTTTTTTTTTTTTTTGTTGTTGTTGTTGTTTTTTTGTTATTGTTGTTGTTGTTGTTGTTGTGTTTCATTTTATTTTTTTCAAACCTTGTGGTGTTGTCATTTTTTAACAAGTTGAGTCTTTTTTAAGGTGATCTTATTTGATTTATTTTATTTTATTTTATTTTGTACCAATTGGTTTTGTCACATTCTCTAAACGGATTCAACATTAGTAATTCTATCATGTTAGGAGGCAATATTTCTCTCTTGAAGATTATTTTATTTTATTTTATTTCCATAATATCTAAAAGCAAGCTCCAACACTGAGAGGCAATAAAATCTTAAATGTCATTTCAATGACAAATATTATTGTCAAAAGTTAATTGAAAGAATAGATAAGAAAGAGAATAATTGACAAAAGAGACTTGTTTATTATTTCCAAAAATTTAAGATATTATAATTTACCAAATTCTATATTTTAATTTGATTTTCTATATATATATATATATATATATAACTAATTTTGTTGTTTCTAGGATGCAAAAAATGCAATTGCTATTCATTCCAAGATCTTCATTAACAACAACTGATTGTTGTGATGTGTTTTAGGCACCACATTTTGTTTATTTATCATGTAGTGATATTATATGGCATCTAATTTTTATTTATTTTAATTTTGGTATTTGGTGGTTTTTTTTTTTTTTTTTTTTTTTTTTTCATTTTGATTACTTGACATTCTTGCAATTTTTATGTTAGATATTTCACTAGATAAAGGTCAATTTTTTTTCACCTGATGCAAACAAAATAATCTTAATCTAGTATTAACTTCCATGCTGGAATAAAAAAAATAAATAAGCTAATTTCCAAACCTAATTGTTTATATATAGAGAGATTGAAATACTTATGAAAATTATTTGCTAACAACAGTATAAAGGGAGTCTGAAACAACAAAGCAGAAAGAAATTAATTTGTAAAATCAAATCAATTTTATTAAATTAATCTAACCAGATTGCATGATTTTTGAATTTTAAAATGCAAAAAATTCATAGAAAAAAAGAAAAGAAAAGAAAGAATGACAAGATAAATAAACATTTAAAAAAAAAATGCAAGTTGAAGTATGTTTAATGACACATGTAACATCAATGACTGAGGAATGATATAATATACTATAAAATTGTTTTATATGAAAGCATGATTTTTTTAGTTCTAGCCATTAAATAAATAATCTTTAATAGTTGGTTTTGTTTTTATTTATTTATTCGTAAGTGATTTTAAAATACCACAAATAACAACATTGCAATAGTTTTTCCTTAAAACACATAAATTAACAACAAAACCTTCACTCGTTTTTTTTTTTTTTGTTTTTTTATCGGTTTTGTGTATTCCAAGCCCTTACGTTCGAATGTTTAATAGCTGTCTGTTTTGTAATATTTAACATGTAAATAACAGTACTTTGGCAACGGTCCCTGGTGAGTGAGCCCCCACTTGTATCCTGTTCATTTCATTATTTGAAGATGACTACAAACAAACGTGCAACATGGCAAACCACCTTATAAAGCACCCAACCAGTCACATCCACTACCAATTATGAACAGGAAGGAAAAACACAAAACATAACAAACAAGCAAAACAAAGAAAAAACAACAAAAACTAACCATTTCTGGGTCTCTATGAAAAGATTCATAAGAATCAAAACCACATACCCATCAACAACATTTGCCAATGTCCTAAAAATAAACATTTAAATTTTTTAACCCCTGGGTCGCAATTACTAAGTCTGTGTGTGTGAGTTTTTTCTGGGTGAGTGTGCGCGTTGTCGTTGTGGGGTCGAGGGGCTGGAGCTGCGCTATGGGATTAATCCAAGCGGTGCCCAGAGAAATGTGGCCTTATTTCGGGAGCTGGGCCTCGTTTCTTCCTCCGACGTCGTCGTCGTCGTCATTCGGATCTCATGAAACTGGGTTCCGGCGCAGATGGGATCCCAACCATCTTCACTCACTCCATCCATGGATCCATGGACGCTGCCTCTCCTCCGAATCGCGCACATTCGGCAGGAGCAGTGTATCGCATCGTATTGCAGTGAAGCGACAGCTGTGGGATACCAACTGGGTCGGTGCTGCTCTCGATTTCCTGCCCCGTGATGTTCATCCTCCGCGCATGCGCTTAGATTCTGCGGACCAGCGTGGGCTAAACCCAGAGTGCGAGCCACAGAGAATTCTCGTGGAGGGAAGTATGATTGGTTTGTGAGACATCGCCTCCAAATGAGCCTGCTAATTTTGAACTGTTCTCCCGGCAGTGCGGTTGCCGCTTTTGGTTTCGTAACATGCCACTTGGATTCGGATTTGCCGGCCCCGCTAAGGACTATCAATGGTCTCGTCGGGGAGCTTTATTGGGTTGTGAGTTTGAATCCCCCACGTATGATAAGAATTTGCTGACCCTTTCTCGAGAATTGTTGGAAAAGGTCAGAGCTTCGGGTCTAAATTCACGTCTTGCAATCTGCTGCATAGAGTTTGGCATTTGAAGTTCCCACGTGACAGAAAGAAAAGACCAGCCTAAGTAAAATCTGTGTTTGCTCTGCGAACGGTGGTTACAACAGTGTGAGATATTGAGGGTGCTTTCATGCTAAAATCATGATTCCTTCACTATGTGGGGTGTTAGTTAAAGGAGCCGAACTGAACTCCACCAGTTCTGCGGTTGATTTCTTTGACTGTGTGCGAGTCAGAGAAGGGTGTAACTATTTAACGTCAGGATTCGCTCAACATGGAATTGCTTTTTGAAGAAAACCAGCATCCTGGTAATCGTTTTCAAAAGACCCACTAGCTCATCAAAAGCGACCCAATCCACGCTGGACCGATCGAATACCGTGCATGGGAAGAAATTTACTCTTGTGGTGGTTGTCAGGGTTCGAAAGATTTCAGCTGGATTTCTGTTATTTAGATTTGCTTATTTATTTATAAAAAAAATTCTCTCTGCCGCACGAATGAAAGGAAATTTCGATCTGCATCACCTAAGGCTTAGCTAGCCCAACGAGAGAGCAATTCTTTATTGATATTATTATTGCTATGTTCATCATTTAAATCAATGCCGTGATGAAAAGTAAAAACAAATCCAGATGTGCACTCAACCTTTCATATAAGCATGAAGACACCACGATCATACCGGGCAATTCCCTCAAAAGCTGACCCAGAGAAAATGATACAACTCGGAGGACACTGAATGTTGCGATTTAATACGGAGTCAAGGGACGATAAGAAGGAAAATAAGCGAGAAAGATTGATCCGCATGACTCAAGTACTGCAACAGATTCTCCACGAGTAGGACAACACTACTGTTCCCTGCACGAGTGGCAATTCGTCGAGAAATAGCTGTCTTGAGATAATATTCTCGATGCACCGTATTTAAATTGACAGAGTACGATCTCCTCCAATGGATGTGATAAATAGTAAGCAAACACATCTCGCAAGCACCACTGAAGTCCATTACAGCAAATTATGTAACGAGAGCGACGAATTCAGTGGTGAGCAGTGTAAATCATAGAGGGCATGTAGACTGCAACATACCTACTTCACCACTAAGGTGAGATATAAAAAAGCAGAGCCTATTCATGGAAAGTATAAAAGTTTCCGTTGAAAAGAAGACCCTCAGATCGATGCCTGTACAATTTTTTCCAGTTGATCCATCAGCTTTTCAAGTGTTAAGGGCCACTTAATCAAGATAGATATGCGTCGATGAATTGGACCGCAGATGCAGATGACATTGCTCCAGGAAAGTGCTATATTGACAGAAGCAATAATGCCTCCCCCTGCAAAAGTTTCTAGTATTGTTATTCAACTACCCAGATAAAACAGTAAAGTGGAATATTTAAAAGGAGTAGGGTCTTTGTAGATAAGAATAATGCAATTCAAGTAGACTCCAATGCTAGAAATCACAAAGGAGTTTCACATTCAGTAATTAAAGAGATTAATGCATCTCCGGCAAAGGCTATGCTCCATATTGGCAAGGAGCAATGAGCAATAGTAGATCCAAGGTACACATCCGTGAAGATGATGGAAATCTATACAATCAAATTGAAGTGCTGGAACGGCTCGGTTTATCCTCGCTTTAACATACTTGTACAGATTGAGGCCTAAGCTCTAAGCTATGGGTCTGTGCAGGAACTGTTACCTTCGCTATCCTCTGTTTTAATTTCACCACTGAGTCGCTAGGAACCGCGAGTGCTGCAGCTACACGTGTGGTTATCTATATTGAAACCGAAGTTACGGATGCCTACACAAAAAAGAATCAGGCAATTGCACATTTTGAAGGAATCAAGACGACAATCGAGGTGAGATACTCTCAGCTTTAGAATCAACAGCTGCATACGCCGCCTAGTGCGAGATACCCTTGATCCCACATCTGATCGGATCTCAAGAGATTTGTCTCCAATTGCGCTGTGTCGGCTGTCAAACTGGGGGTATCCAAAATCTTGTGCACCAGCTCGTCAAAGCAGCGCTGAACATTGATGCTCGTCTTGGCACTTGCTTCCAGAAACAAGCACCCATGTTGCCTCGCAAACGCAATCCCTTCCTTCTTAGCGACCACGCGTTCGCTCTCCTCCAGATCCACCTTGTTGCCGATTAGCATCTTGATGCAATCCTTGTTGGTGGAGAATCGGTCCACCTCCTTCAACCACACATCTGACAAATCTGTAAATGTAGCCCGCCTTGTAACATCGTAGACCAAGATGATGCCCTGAGCACCTCTGTAGTAAGTGCTCGTCAACGTCCTAAACCTCTCTTGCCCTGCAGTATCCCAAATCGTCAGCTTCAGACGCTTTCCTTGCAAGCTCACCATTTTCACTTTGAAATCTACTCCAATTGTTGGCGACAGGTCGTCGAATTTGCTGGCAGTGAACCGGAGAAGGAGACTGCTCTTTCCAACACCTGAATTCCCGACCAGGAGGATCTTGAACAGGTGATCGAAGTCATTTCCGGGGCCAGCCATACTCACCACACTCGAATTACTTCCTGCAACTGCATAGACCTGTATCCACAAATCCACTTTACCCTATCCGTCGACAAACTTCCGCTCCAACAAACCCTATTCTTCTTTCTTCCAACACATCGTCGAACCCACAGGAATACCTACTCTACACGCAGCTGATTGACTCGATCACTCACGTCAGGGACGACATCGCTGGCAATACAATATTGTTGCTCAATTGAAGCAAATACTAAAAAAAATCTCTTCAACCGAAGGTATCGCATCGCAGGCACAGCAGTCTGAACAAGAGCAGACCGGTATTAGCCAGATTACGCCCTCGAGATCTACAAAATGTGAATAAGAAGACGCGGCAACGACATCTCTCTGCATATCACAAGACGATTGCGATTATCCCAATTCGCCAAGCAACAAACGTGATGAAAAAGCAACCGACTCAACAATTGCGTGAAGTGTTCCTCATGGCACAGCATGTTCCTTCTCTTACGCTCTTAGGTTAGGTGTGGATCGTATCCGATTGCTTCTACCTCATAGCTGCCAGTCGCATATTCCTAAGGTATGTCTTCAGCATCCGCGCAACACAGTGTTGAGTCTTAATGAGGCTGATAAACTTTCAATCCAGGGAAGAAACACTCTTCAATTGGTGGTCGCAGCTTGACTTTCTAGACGCGATTGGAGGTGTAAGACTCCAGCCCATTGACCAGTGTACCACGGTAGTGTATCGTGTGTGTCCAGGTCGGAAAGATTTCATACCCTGCTTGACCATAGCAAGCTTCTCAACCTTTTAACTACACAACATGCTCAAACCTAGTAGCTTTATTACTAGATGTGCGCTCATCTTTTCGGATCTGAGCTCTGAAAGGGTGTCATGTAGTCGGTAGTGCTTTTACATGAATGTCCGGGTTTACTACGACTCGAACTCTGAATGGAGTCTTGCTATTTGGACATATGTCACGAACATGCATAAGCGTTTGGCCAACTGTTAGCAATACACGCAGCGCAAGCCAACATGTAATTGTAATTGTCTGCCCGTAACATGTTCCATTGCTCAAGGCCGCGCTGGTAGTAAAAAGCTATCTCCCATTTGCCTGAACTTAGATTCCCTGGGTTACTACTTTGTGTAGACTTGACATTAGAAATTTAAAACTTCACTACCTGGAAGATGTCGATTGCTACAGTCAACAGACTGCTCTCTTAACAAGTGCCCAATTCAACTCCGATCGTCGTCTGGTTCGTGATAAGCGATTGACTAACTCTATTCACGAGTACCACTTCTCTACTTTTCTCGCCATCAAGAGAGTTCGAAACGAAAAGGGTGGACGCAAGTAACATTGATGTTAATGAAAGGTTTATATCCTTCACTCAAATGATCTCAAGATCGTCTGCTGGAGTTTATTTGCGCAACGAACAATACTGCGGAAACCAATCGTACGGCTTTTCAAATAGAAAGCACTTCAGGCTAAGCAACGATCAACTTTAGGCTCTGCAATCAGAACTGTTAGACTACCTTGTAAACAGCAGCAATCCAAGCATCATGCGAGCCAACAAACTTGATCAGGGCAGTACATGATACGAGGATTATCATATTCAGACTTTTTGACAAACAGGAAACCACAAGGAAAAAAGCATTCATGCACCCAATGCCACGGTTTCCGTAATTTCACGCCTGCGGGACAGACGCATTGGCGGCCTAATCTTCGCAGCATTTACTAGGCTTGCACAAAGTGGTCAAACTTGCACGTGACGAAAAAGAAACCAATATCAAGGGGATTTTAGTTGATTTGCTGCTGCTCAAATGCGGGATTGGCAACCATCAACTCACACAAGCTTGTCTGCATCAACAAGATCATTTCCAATAATCTTATCTGAAAATCTCTATCCTGAGTCATCGACATCGTATTCGGTCTTGAAAGCCGTAATTGAGGAGGCACCATCCTCACCCGGCATGTCTGATGTTTGCCCTCATGGACTCACCAGGGCACCCCTCTTGCATCGTGTAGCTGATCAAATTCACATCTTCTTCAATTTCGTCAATGCGTTTCTTTCGAGCTTTTCAACCATTGCTGGATTGCTGAACGACATCAACACTCACAGGCGATTCCATCACCTGAGTAAGAGTTGGCAAACAGGCTTTCATACCTCTCACTTGCAAAAACTCCACAGGTAAATGCTCCTGAAGTTTAAAACCGCACAATGCTCAGAATTGTCTTGGAAACACCGTCCGAAATGTTGAGGGACCCAATTCCTGGAACAACCTCGGCTCTATTAGCAGCACCTAATCTAAAGCAAGGCTCCCTCAAATACATCTCCAATAGACCTAAATCATACGCAATGTGAACCCAACAATGAAAACGCCCAACTTATGATCCATGCAGAGGTAGAATCCATCGCGCGCATGCAAAGAAACGTAATAACGAGATCTTGGCAATACCGGGGCCACCATCGCCACACAGATCGTTCCCAGTGAACGCATCAGGCAGGACCTCGGGGTATCACCCTGGCAATCTTTTTAGCCGTAGCTCCACATTTTTAGATACCCTTTCACGCTTGCTTCTCCAACTCTGCCATAACCTTGATCGCCTCGAGATCTCCACAATCCCCACAACAATCCTAGCCATAGCCCTAGCCCTAATGATTTCCGAGTATTCTTTTCCTAGTGTCATGTATGCCCAACAATCAGCCCACACAGGCCTTCAACACGAAGAAAGTTTACAATAAACTGTTGGCCACATAGCTCTCCATGGCAGAACTTCAATGTCACAAGACCCAATCTTCCGACGAATTTTGGAAATTTTTTCATGCCCTCCCCTACGTTTTAATTCACGTACCTGGTTAATTTCTCTTGTAATGACCACGAGAAATCCTCTAAGTGCTGACAAGGCGACATTGCAGGGAGCAATCCCGCCTGGGCTTGTTCACTTGGGCCTTATCCGGCCTAGTTCGTAAATCAACAGGGGGGTTTGCATTTTGAGCCTGAGCATGGCAATGGCGCTTTTAGGGGTTTAGGGCGCCCGGGAGAATTTCACCATTCGTTTATGATGTTTCTTTCGACTTGTTTTGATGGCAGATTGATGATCCGGGTGTCAGTGCAAGAGTAGCCTTCTTTCGTCCATTTCAGTAAGGAACTGCTTGTTCTGACGTCGATTTGTAGTGGCACGGACAATCAATTCGCCGGGTGGTGTTGGACATGATGACGTTGTTGTCGCGGGCAAGTTTTGGTTCGCTCCGATTTGCTCCAGAACGTGGAGCAGAATGTAGCTCCCTGTGTGTATCATTTCAAGCTCGAAAGCAAGGGGGTAGTGCAATTTTAATGTCGTGGCCGTTGGTTTTGAAGCTGCGATCGAGGGGCGTTTGTGCATCGGTTGGGAATGAGAATAGTGGGGAGACTGTGCGAGCAGGACCTAGGATTATGTTTGCTGCGGGTGGTACAGGGGGTCATGTATACCCAGCTCTCGCAATTGCTGACGAAGTGAAGATGTTGAATCCAGCAGCTGAAATTGAGTTTGTGGGTACCATAGAGCGCATGGAGTGGGTTGCAGTTCCCAAAGCAGGCTTTCCAATCTCTCCAATTCCTGCTGTGGCGATACGGCGGCCATTTTGGAGCTTGGCAAATGTACTCTTACCGTTCCGCTTGCTTCTCTGTTTGTGGATGTCGTGGAGAATAGTACGCAAATTTAGACCGGATGTGGTGGTTGGAACAGGGGGCTATGTCGCAGGTCCATTGTGTCTCATGGCCGCGCTGGCTGGAACCGCGGTTGCCATTCAGGAGCAAAATGCATATGCGGGAGTGACCAACCGCATCCTTGGTAGAGTTGCGAAGGTCATATTCATAGCTTTTGCGGCTGCTACCTCCTACTTCCCAAAGCAGAAATGTGTCTTTATCGGAAACCCCACCAGGAGAGTGCTCCAGCAGCGTATTGATCGATTGTCTGCATTACGTTACTTTTTTGGGGATCTAAATGTGGATGGCCATGAGGATCTGGAGGTGGTTGTCGTGATGGGGGGTTCACTTGGAGCACGTATTATCAACGAGACGATGGCAGAAATTGCTTCATCCCTGTTGGAGCAGAAGCGTGGGAGGTACATTATCTGGCAGACAGGGACAATCAATTACGATTCTACAATGAGGAGAGTCGGCAGCCATCCACGATTAGCTCTCTTACCGTGAACCTCTGCACCTTCCTCTTCATGTTTTCGTTAGGTCCTTGTATTTACAACAATCTTTGAACAGTTGCAACCAAGTACTGTCCGTTGTTGATAAGTTATAACGGTAGGATAAACCCGTAGCTGTAGTTCTGCAAAGCAATTTTGTGTCGTTTCCGAAATCAAAGGAGTTGACTGGTTCCTTGTCTGGGTGGTTGGCAGATATGTAGACGCCATGGAGATGATGTATGCTGCTGCGGATATTGTTGTAGCAAGGGCGGGTGCAATAACCTGCAGCGAGTTGCTGGTCACAGCTACGCCGGCCATTCTGGTTTGTGCTCAGACATGTATATTTATGGGGTAACAAGAGTGAACCAATTCTAGAAATGAGTTACGTAGAGACAGAATTCTTCGCTGTTATCTGTTCTGGCTTGTGGCAATGTATACCTATGGGCTTGTGACTCAGGGAAAAAATAATGCTCTAAGAATTGGTAGATGCTGTCAGATTCCGGCCACCTCTGTAGCTGAAGATCATCAAATGAAGAATGCACGGGCCATGGCTGAGGGTGGTGCTGCTACTATCCTACCAGAGAGGGATCTTGTTGCAGAAAGACTTGCGACAGTGATTCTGAACATTCTAGGTGCCGCGTATAACTCCTCTTGCTGCTTTATGTTTCATGAACCTCTCCTGTTTGTTGCATAATTCTACTGAGATCCCCTCTACATTATTCTTTGTTAGATTTGTTTTATTTTCAACTATTTTAATGTTATTAATTAGGGGAAACATTCGAATGCCAAATGCCAGGTGCTTCTTGCAGCATTCCCAATATAGTCCAGATATATTGACTTTGTCTCATTACAGGAGACAATGCAGAACAGAGGAGGATGCAAAATGCTGCACTACGTATGGCAGCACCAGATGCAGCACAGCAGCTCGCCAAACATGTGCTCTCCTTGGCATCATGATTTATTTGGAAGCCATGCAACGAGTTTGATTGCTATAACTGTTGTAGGTTTTTTACTCCAGAGATCCGTGAAGGCTTTATGTTAACAAGGTATGACCTGCCCATTGTGCTTTACTTTGGATGTAATATTTGGCTTTGCTTGGTCTTCTTTACTTTTCGAAAATGCACTACGTAGAATATAGAATCTCATTTCTCGAAAAACATTCCCGTTGATTTTTGATGGATGGTACGAAAGTACAGGAATCCTTTCTTTTTTACTGTTCATGAGACCTTTATGCAGCTACACTCCAGCATGTTAAACTATGATTTATATTTCGTTACCTTACTGGATCAGGCACGCTGTTTATGGTATAGCTGGCGGAAATATCGACTGAGAGAAGGAAATGATGTGCGAGGAGAATTCGAAGCATGTTCTTGACGAGGCTGTTGCAGATGCATGATTGAAGTGCCTGCTATTTGATACACATCACAACCACGTTCGTCTCTTTCAGCAATTGTATTTGTAAATGCCATGATCATTTCATCAATGTCAGAGCAACCATAATTGAATGTTTCATGCGGAATACTAACTTTGGCTTTAGTTCAGGTCTTGGCTAGGGCTTGCATTTCCATATTGAAACGCTCGTGAACGCTTTCCTATACAAACCAGATTCGAGCAGGGATACATAGGATATTGAAACCTTTTTTTTGAGATCCTGAGTGTGCTGTAAACACTAGTTGCACGAGAGTGATGAAAATTGTTTGCTCGGTTTCCTTATATCGTTGCAAACAAGATTCTTACTGTTGGCATGCACTCTCCAGTAGATTTTAAGAATTAATCTCGACGAAATGCAAGGATACGTGTGGTAGTTGCTGCAAAATCTATAAAAAGCAATGTATTACATGTTCTTATATTTTTTCTTCAACGTTTCTCTCATATGTCGGGTCTGAGGTTCGATGTCGGAACGATATGCTGCAGTGAATCTTCCTCATTCAGTTATCACGAACAGAAATCTTCGATGTATACAGGAAGATGGGAGGTGCCACATCATTGCAGTAGATGCTGCATTTGGAAAGGTATCTAGTGATCTCACGATGCTGGCTTATGAAAAGTAAGCCCTATTCTGTCTTTCAATCCATTAAACGCTGAATGTACAAGTACACTTAACTCCTTAGCGGCGTGGAAGTCTCTATTTCAAGGGCTCATCCTTTCTAGGTACAAATAATGTGCTCAATATTCATGTTTCACCTGAGCTCACAGTGGATGCTGGGTTGTGTTGATAGGGGGTTGCCAATGCAAGGTTCACATAGGATATGGAACTTCAGCCCAAATGAAAAGGCTGCTAAAGTATGGCCAATGGACATCCTTGACCACACATAGTCATCCCAAGGACTGAAATCTCCTTCATTGAGCAGGCAATCAAGACTCTCACTACTTCTAAAGAATTTGTCCTTGATTCTTGTGAAGCAATTGTAGTTTTCAATGTTGAATATTTGTGGCAGAGCTCGAGAAGATGTTTGAATTGGCATACTTCATTTTACCCCATCAATCCTGGCATTGCAATAGTGGCACTGTGATTTTGCAGTGGAGCTCTGAGAATTAATTGTTGTGACTATTTAGTGCAAATCTATACAATTAACTGATTTGGAGGAGTTGATCAAGGTGAAACAAAAGTAGTATGTGCTTGCACCTCTTAGTGCATGCAGTCCATTTAAAATACACTACTCTGCAATAAATCTTGTTCTACTTGCAGTGAGGTCTGTGTCTGAAAAAGTCTTACTAAACTGATACGCAACTCAATGTCATGTCTTTTATGAACTAAGTGACAAGATTAAATATTTAAGCCAATTAATTATTTTTCTCCAATTAATCTTTCTACCTTTTTGGTGCATATTAGGCCATGTAATGCTTGCCCATGAGGGAGTCTAATAGACAAAGAAGACAAAGCAAGACTTCTTACCTCTCAATCTAAGTTTTATTACAACATTTGATATTAATTGTTGGCATTTTGTATTTAATCCAATGGCTACATTAGATATTGGCACATTCATTTTATTTGTGTGACTAAAATGTTATTTAATAGATAATAGATAATTAATATGGATGAATTTTTTTTCAAAAAATTTCAAATTCAAAAGAAAATATCTTGAAGATGCCATTTTGTTCCATTTATGTTTACTTCAAATGTGTCAAAAATCAATTCCAAATCAAAAGACTCAATCTTCCAAAAAAAACAAGGATATTTAATCATTAGTTAATATGTAGATGATTTGGAAACATTTACAAAGTATATGAATATATTCTTGACACAATTGATGATAAGTTGAGCATATTTAATAGGATTTTAGGTTCAAAATAAATTAAAATAATTTAGTAGTATTGTAAATATGAATAGAAAAATATGACTTATAATACAATTTAGATGAATTGAAGATATATTGACAAGTTCTTAAATTATGAAATTCAAAACAAACTCAAATATTGGTATTCTATAAGATTGAGTCTAACAAGCCAAATTCTAATAGTTAATTTTGTTATTATGGTTTCTATAATCCTCTTTGTCATGTTGTAAAATGCCTCACTTAAGGTTAAAAAAAACCAATTGGCATTTTACCAAAGAACTTCTTATGGGGAAGAAGAAAGAAAGGTAAAACAAATAAAAAAATAAAAATAAACTTTGCATAAAGAAGAGTTTTATAGGCTATAAGAAGCCAATGCATTTTTTAATAGAAGACTTGACTTACTAGATCAAAGATAGGTCTTAATACTTTATTAAAGAGATGAATATTCAAAGAAATTATTTTAGAAAATTTGAATTTACTAATATTTTTCAAATTTAAGATACAATAGATCCAATTACTTAAATGATACAATAGACAATAGCTAGACAAACATTAGATAATTAAATTTAGAATCAAATTTTGTTCCAAAACAAAGACATTACAAAGAAATTACAAAACAAAGAAATTATATCAAAGACTTTGAATACAATCTTTATATAAATTCTATTCAATTTTTATACGTCAATATAAAATATATATATATATATATATATATATATATATATATATTTTAAAAAACAACATCAATAATTACAACCAAAACTTATAGAAGTAATTTTAATATACAAATTAACTAATAAGTTCTATAAATTGGCCTAAAAAAGATCTAAGACATGTTAAATTTACACTCAAAGATTTTTATGGCATGAGAAGGAGCAAGTCAAATTCCAAATTATAAATGAAGAACAAGTACAAGAATCTACCATCAAAGGTTAGAATCTCATATTCTAATTTAGAAACATAAAACATACTCTCCAACCACTTTATCTCCAACCACTTTATAAACTTATTAAGATCTTAATATATATATATATATATTTATTTATTTATTTTAAAATATATATAATAATATCTAATTATTAAGAGCATAATATTATGCTTTACATAACTTGGTGCCATGTCATGATGTATTATCATAGTTGACCTTTAATAACTTTAAACATATGCCATTTAAGATAGTCTTTGTATGCTTGGATTATATAAAATGTTTCATTTCATCATCAAATTTGGATAATTGTTTATCCACATGAACAACTAAGCAACTCTCTATTTAAAAACATTGGATTTCAACCCATGTATATATTTATTCTCAGCAAGGTTTCAAATAATTTTTAATGAGTTGTAGATTGATTCAAGTAAAAATCATTGTTTTTATTTTTTATTCTTATAATCTTCTAGTATTCTTATAAAATAATATTTTTAATATTTTATTTTCCTTATTGTTATCCTTTAAAAATAAAAATTTGATGATTTAAGATTATATTATTTTTTATTTTTATAATTTTTATAAATTATTAATAGGAAAATTTAACTTTTAGAGCATGTTAAATATTGGCAAAATAAATAGGCAAATAAAAACCTTAAAATACCATTATAATTTTGTAATCATATTTTATTTTATTTTATTAAAAATTAATTAACCATAGACTCATTGTAAAATATAGCAAAAAATAGATTCCAAAATAGATTTTAAACGTAAAAAACTGTAAATGTAATGACTAAAATTCACAATTTATTTTTATTGTTGTATCTTTATAAGTGGAGCTACTTTTCTACTACTTGTTTTTAGAAATAACAAAAACTTGCATAAAATCATTGTGGTTTTAAAATTTAAAATCTAATTGTTATGCAATTAAAATTAATGACAGATTTACAATTACTTGTACTATACTTCATCATAATATATTCAAAAATGATTAGTGAACATCTAATTCCTATTGATCATTTTTTAAGAGATAATATTTTTAATTTTAACAATGCATATATTTAGAAAAATTCAAAATAATAATATACACCTTATTTCTCAAATTTTACAAAAGTAGTTTTCATTTATGTATGCTAAGTTCAAAAACGTGTCACTCAACAACAACAACAACCATTTTTTTATATTTTTTTTCTTACCTTCAATTTTCTTCAACAAAAGAAATTCTATAAAATTCTAAAAAATAATATAAAAAAGGTATTCCAAACTAATCTACAATGAAAGTATGCCAAAATCAAAACACCCAATTGCAATATGGGATAAATTTCCAAGAACAACGTAACAAACGGCGGCACTTGCGATCAAACAGCGCTGATACCGAAATACATTCATCCAAAAATGAATCCATCCATCCATGGGTTCATTCATCCCTTAATGATTTTCATTTATTCATCCTTCCGTGTCGCGAGTGTGACGACTGGAAAGCTTGAAAGCACAAAGCAGGAGAAGAGAAGGGCGCCGTGTGAGCAGCGCGGCACTGCCTGCCTGCCTGCGTGCCTTCATTTGCGATCTGTGGGATTGATTCCTTCTCAAGGGTTCTCGCATTGAAGCAACTCGCGAGAGATTCGCAACCATGGGGCGTCGCCAGGGCATGCAGATTGGAGTCGTGGGGTTCTTCATGCTGGGTCTCGCTTCTCTGCTCTTGGTTGTGTCTCAGGAGTTTCCCGTGGAGTCTTCTTCCTCAACCGTCACCCCGGCGTTCATATGGTCGGATCTGCGGTATGGCTTGGTGCTACAGACCTGTCTCGTTGATTGACCCTGCTACTATTCTTTTCTGTTTTCTTTGAAGAGAATGAAGTAGAGCGTAGGTTTGTATTTCGTGTCTCCAGGGTCTGGTATCGGGTTTGCGATTTTTTAGTTCTTCTGGGAAGTAGCCTTTAGGGGAAAGAAAGAAGAAAAAAGATTCGAATATTAGCCATGTAGGTTATCAGATGGTGAGTTTCAATTATACACTTGCTGCTGTTGTAATAATTTTGATCTGGGTCCCGGTCGGTGCACGTTATTTGGTTCATAATTTTCAATTTTCATTTTCATCTTCATTTTTTTTTATATATAATTCGGTCGAAAATTTTCAGAATGCCGGTGCACAGGTTTGTGAATTTCGTTTTATTTGGGAACCCTATGCATGGAAAGATGATTTTATTTGTTGATAATAAATCTCGAAGCTAAGCAGGACTTGTACTTTGGAGAGTGTGTTCGTTGAGATTTTGCGCACAGATGCTTGTTTGCGCAGGATCGACGTGTCAATTATGAATTTCAAACGTCCGAGACCCTAGTGGATACAATTTTCCATGACTTTGGAAGGTGCGCAGCTACTGAGGTAAGCATTGTTAGAATTGTTCACACCAAGTCTACATACTCATCTTGATCAAGTGAATACACGTGTTTCAGGTGTTGCGGGGGCCTTTGTGGTTTTTGAGATATTGTTTCTGGTTATTTATATATTGTTCAGATTGATGGTGGCTGGTATTTGAAGGTTTGAAGTGACACTTAAAAAACGAATTTTTATTTACAGTGTCTATATTGCGCCTCAAGCACTCGGATGTTGCTGCCCAGCCTTCTCTAATACAATTCTGTTCTTGCAGGATGAAGTCCAAGAAGAAGCAAAGCCAGAGATGATTATTATGTTTATCGGAAAAGAGGCGAGTTTCTCTGGTTTTGATTTTTAGTTTTTTGGGAGGATTTTGAGCACTGAATGAATTTTTACTGTTGCAGGGTACATGTATCAGGTGCCTCTGATAATTTAGGGTTTACGTATACTGTCTATCTCACTCATAGAGTCTCTTATCCTGAACAGCTCAGATCCGAGGACATTTCTCGCAGCGCATCATCTAGCGTTCTGAAGACTCTTCAGGTAATTGTTGTGCTTATTATGTTGTTTATGCTGGTTAGATAGTTGGCAGGTGGGCAGGCTTTGAGCGGTGTCATGAATGGAATCGTGTCTCTTGGATATGTCATTTTTACGCTTTTTGAGCTCCAAACAGCTTAGCGTTATGATAAATCACATTAAGAATCATTATTTGCTCGATTGCAGAAATCTATCACAGGTGTCAAATACTCAATGTCAATTCCTTATGTCACTTCGGCAAGTGACAAAGCCTCAATTTCAGAGTCCTTCCTCTCAAACATTCGGAACAAGTTTGACACCACTCCTAAAATTGGGGTAGTAGCGGTTTCTGGATCTTGTGCTACCGGAGACCATGCTGTCAAAAGGCTCGCTGATGTCGCTGATATTCAGGTATTTTGGTGCTATCGAAGCTCTGTGATGAAAGTTTAAACATCATGGTCTTATAGCCCAGCACAATAGGTGTTTAGTGCATTTAAATGATTGTTCATGTAAGATTATTTTCAGTATTTGGGTTGCAAAACTATGCCTCTTATTTCAAATATATCTGTGATGCAGGGTTACATTTTCGGAAGGAAAACTTCTCGGGCGCAAGGAGAAACTGATGTTATGGTCATCTGCTACAGCCCTACACTGCACTGGAGCACAGATGGTGTCTCCAACTCAGAAGGTGATACGCGATTTTGATTGATTGCTGCTTTGTGGACTGCAGTGAGAGGATTGCAACACTACCAGTTTCGGAGTTGCTTTGTCACATGTGTTTATAAACATTTTTCACTTTGATCTAGGCTTTTATTGTCAACCAAGACACTTTCTACTGAATGCTCAATGACGTTCTTGGATTGGAAGGCTTGGCTACAAAGCTATCTATTGTCATTGGCACAGAAACAGTTAATTTTTAACTTCTTTTATCTGGCGTCTACACATTGCAGGGATTGTATTGGAAGAGGTCCTATCAACCGTGAAGTCTTCTGGAACTAGCAATGTCGCTATTTATTTCTCTGAGCCATCGGTTTCTAGTGTGAAGCACCATGGAATTTTGGAACGTCACCTTCTCGAAGGCTCCGGCACTGGAAGTACAGATTGTGATGCGCTTTGCAGGAGTAGAGCAGTGATCCTTGAAGGGATTTTTGTGGTAAGACTATCCTGCAGTGAATAGAGTTTTTTTTCTGTTATCTCTAAATTTTTAAAAGTACAGTCTTTTATTTTTGTTGTGATTCAAATTTAACGCAAATCTGTGATGGATGCAGGCGTTTACGCTTATCACTATTTTGGTATCTGGTATTTGCTGTATGAAAGCAGTCAAGTCACCTGCTCGTTTTGAGACCGCTAAGGAATCATAAAGCGATGGCAAACCCGGTCATGAATTTTGGGAATCTCTCATCCTCGGGTCAACCTCCAGTGAGCAGAAGGCGTTGCCAGCAAGGATTCAGATTGGCCAGTCTATAAGCAGATTGCTAGGATCATTCATTTGAACTTGTCCATGCGCAGATTTTGTGTATTGATCAAGCATGGTAAGGCTTCCAAACTGGCATCATATTTTCAAATGGTCAGCTATGTGCAACCAAGTTGTTTTTACTCAAAATTTATTTCTGTAGTTGGAAATAATTAAAATTAGCAAATGATTTCTATCTTTGTAATTGTAACCCTCGTGGTTGCCCCTTTCAACCAAATAATATAGTCCATTTTGAGATTGCATTTCACAGACCTATTTTAAGAAGATGGTGTAAGGGAGCGTAGTGCTTGTGCATGATCCTTAGTGTGGCAGACTTGAGCATCAAATCGAACCATATGGTGAAGATAACAAGCCATATGGAGTGATGAGATTTGAGCCTCGTGCAACCTTCATACAAGTAGAATTTTTTGTGTACAGTGCCTTTGTTGTCAGATGAAAAGATTCATAAGCTTGTATGCTGTAAGAGTGGAGAGATGGGGTCTTGCAATGGCACAATTTCAACATGCTAAATATATTACAAACAACAAAGATATTATAAGAATTTTATTGTGTTAATTCAATGTTTTACATCCACTAAAAACATTACCCACTGTATGCTTTTGTTGTTTAAAAAACATGAGGTTTACTTCTTTGCTAACCTTTTATAAAATATGATGGTTGTCAAATTAGGTTACGAGCTTGTGCGCTTCAGCGAAGGGCACACTACATTCTATTCTAAAGTGTAGTTCCATCCACACATAATGCAAAAAAGATGAATAAACAAACATCAACAAGATAAATTCCCTCAGATATGGTTTTTCTAGAAACTAGTATGGTGTTAAAGAACTTCAAAGACATGCGAAGCCGCTCGCTGGATGTCGGAATGTAATGACAAAGTAACATCAAACCAGTCAAACCCATGTGATAACAACAAATATGCAAACCGAAACTCTTTGTTCCATCTCAATTATGTACGGAAGGATCAAAAAACCTAACAGTAAGTTCGACCCAGCGTCTCACAATGCAGGAACCTTATGAAATTCCCAATACTAAAGGAATATGCTCCCACAGAAAATCACAGAACTCAGATTAGTTGTCGCCGACGCAAAGTCATGTGGGGGGATGGGCAGACAAGCGGGTCTCACATTCCTGCGAGACCAGGCATGGATGTCAAGTCAAGTCAACTCTACTCTACTCTTCGACTCCGTCTCTTTGGCTGGCCAGGTCTGTGCAACGTGATGGCTTGTGGCGCTTAGCTCGGCTCAGCTGCGTGTTTGTTCGGGGTTCTCATTGCGACTTCATGGCATGCGAGCCTAACCCGCTAGATGCTCGACTCTCTGTGTGTGCTTTCAGCGAAATTTGTGTGTTCTGAATGCTAATGCCGGCGTAGTTCACAGAATCGCGTTCTACACTGGGGTTGCAGTCCTTCAGTGCAACGGCAGATGGCAGCAACATATTGCGAAGCCAGAGACGGAGGCAAGCATGTGTGGCGCCGAGCCAACCACGAGCGTGATGTGTGGTTGCGAGACTCGCGGGGCGAAATTGGAAGTGTGGGTGTGGGTGTGCGCGCGCGTTGTTGAAGTGAGAGCGGGTGCAGTGGCAGTGATGGGATTGTGAGGCTTGGTTGTTGGGTCGCAGGATGTTGTTTGCATGCAACAGGCAAATGCGTGAGGATGTGTTTCCGTGGTTTGGTATAAAGGAGGCCAGCATGGCTGAAGATGTGATCCGGAGTGACGGAGAAGAGGGGTGAAATTGTGTGTTTCCACGATGTGAATGTGGAGGGGGTGACAACGGCGGTGGAGAGGTAGGCAGGCAGGCAGCGTAGGGACCAGTTGGTGCGGCGTATGGATGCGAGGGGATGGAGGGGGGAGGGGAGAAGGAGAAGTGCAGACCCACATGGATTGGAGGGAGATGTTGAGGCAGTTATATAATGTGGCGATGCTACATCTCCTGTTGTCTCTTCGGAGACATCTGATAAAATTGGAACGATACAGAGAAGATTAGCATGGCCCCTGCGCAAGGATGACACGCACAAATCGAGAAATGGTCTAAATTTTTTTCTCTCTCCTCGTCTGCAAAGTCATCTTTATTTTTTGTTTTTATTTATTTTTTAATATATCATGGCCATAAGCAAATATACACTGCTGCTCATGAATTTCCATCTCCCGAGTTGCTCTCAAGCATCATTAATTTTGTAAGTACATCCCACTCTTTAGAACAGATAATGAATCAACTTTCAATGCCAATTTTTAACATTTCATTTAGCACTAAATTCATTTGTCTCCACTCTTAATACAAGATTCTAGAATTCTATGTGCTCAAGAAAATCACAAGGCTATGTGATCTATCAATACATGTTTTTATCTATTGTATTATTTTGTAGAATTAGCCATCTAAAATTGAATAATAATGGATTTATAGAAAATAATGTAATTAATCTAAAAAATAGTTGTGGTGGAGATTTAAGAGATTCTTTTGTAGTCTATTTCCTATTATTATTATTTTGTATAAAGGGCCTCAATTGTTTCAAGTCATTAAAATTATGTCTAAATATTAAATAGACTTACTTTTTTACTAAATCAATCCACTTTATTTGAACCATCATTAAAACCATCATTTCCAACCCTTGCTCTTTTTGTTCCTAGCTCTCATCTTGACCTCCTATTTCCACTCATAGGTTTTGTTGTTGTATTGTAAAACAAAAGGATTAATACAAATTTGTGTGTTTTACCATATGGTGCAATGAAGCTGCACCAATGGATGGAGGAAGAAAAGGAGAGGGGGAGAGGAAGATGATGTGTGGATGTTGTAATATTGAGCATGAGACAAGACCTTTTGAAAAGCTAGTTGCAAACAATGCAACATATAAATCATGTCTTTTATAGTGTTTTGATAAAGGCCAAGTCCTAGATTCTTAATATTGTGAATTCATGTAGAAGCAGATACAAACAGATACAGACACATATATACACATACACCTTGAAGTTGCAATTAAAAGCAAAACTTCTTAGTTTGAGTGATCTAATTGGCATGTGTCACGGATATACATAGGTACTCTAATAAATATCTATATGATTGGGTCGAAGTAGATAAAAGTAGATAAAAATAAATTAATTTCATAATACCTTCTAAAAAAGCTTCTTAGAAGCTTCATAGATGTTGCTTTGACTTTACATGTATTTGTAGTTGATTGGTAGGTTAGAAACTTGATCAACAAATTAACTACGTGTTGGTAGCTTGCGGAACAAGCTAACTATGTGGCGTACATATAAAAAACTTACCTTACAAGTTAAGATACGTGTCTTGCAAAGTCAACACGCTTTGGAGGTCTTATAGGACATCACCACATAGCTCCTAGTTAAGAGTATATATGGAGGCAAGAATATAGTTTTTTTTTACTCTTGTCAACGCCTTTCTAGTCCTTAGTCTTATTTCAAGACTTTCTAGTCTTATTGTTTTTGGCAATAGACATTCTAGTTCAATATTATATCATCTTTGAATGACTTTCTAGTTCCTTTCAGTGACACAAGAATGTATTGAGGATTTTTTTTTTTCAAGATTCATGTCTTTGATAATTTGTCAAGAGTGCTAACTTACTATTTTTATCTTATTTTAGAAGTGAATGGATTACTTGATTTTTATTGTTGTATTTTGAAGGTTGTCAATTGTCAAGGACAAGAACTCGATGAAAAAATAATCTAGACAAGTGAGCCTTTACTCAAAGAAAGGTAACAAAATATAAATAAATAAATATGTATATTGAAAGAGAAACTAGAATAGCTATTGGCAAAAGACAAGAAAACTAGAGACCCTTGAAACTAGACTAGAAGCAAGAAAGGAGTTGACAAGAGTTAAGAAGGCTTCACTCTTGTCTCTACATATACTATCCAACTAGGGACTACGTGGCGACATTCTATAGGACCTTCAATATGTGTTGACTTTGTAGGATACATGCCTTGACTTACAAGGCAAGTTTTTCTATATGTGGGCAACATAGTTAGCTTGATTTTCAAGCTAACAACATGTGTGGTATATGGCCAACTTATTGACCACGTTTCTAATCCAAAAAAGTCAATTAAAGACACCTATGAAGTCAAAGCAGCATCTATGAAGCTTCTAGGAAGCTTCCATATTAAATATCATAGAATTAACTTACTTTTACCTACATTTACTTACTTTCACTTATTTGTATATGTAATTACTTGCTTATATAAGTATGTCCGTGACATTACCCCCCTTCTAGGGACGAGTTTTATGAGGAGCGATCATCATATGTTGAAGAAATCTATGATGTAACGAATTGTATTCGTCACATACTCTGATCTTTGTTCTCTTCGAAGATGATTGATAGGGCCTCTCAACCATCGGTAGTGTCCCATACCAGGGCAAGAAGACCACCCAATTGTTTAATTGTTGTTGAGGCCATCATAACTTCCTTCGAATAGAACATTTGAAACACCATCAGGAATTGTTCCTACTTCTAGCAAAATCACCAAACATTGGGAGTCTCTTTTCAAATCGTGATACCAAATGCGTTGTATCTCGCCATCTATTTGAGGAAGAACATGTCATTCTTGAAGATCTTCATCTCGATTGCATCGTCTTCAAGGTTGTGAAAATCATAATGTCTCATCCGACAGGTCAGTAAATGAAGGCTCTTGAGTCGAATCTGCTGGTTATTGGTTCTCCATCTCCTGAGCATCACTACTACAAAGAAGCTACGAACAATAATTGAAAGTAGAATGTTATCTTGCGTAGATGTTGTTTCTTTTATAAAAAAGGTTTTCATCTTGATTTTGATGGATGTCGTCGATGAAAAGCCTCTACCACCTTTGCTATGTTTGCAAGATTCTTTATTGGCTCCCATGCACGTTCACTAATACCATATCTGTGCCAATAGACAAGATATTCAAATTTATTTCGACGCCACCTTGAATCTAAGACTTCTTCTACTTCAAACTCTTCATTATTGTCCACTTCTATAGGAGGAAGTGGAGCTTGTCGTCTTCTTGGTATGTCCACTATCTTATATGGTTCAAGAAGAGACATGTGGAATATTGAATGGATTTTCATTGACTCTGGTAGATGTAAACGATATGCAACTGGATTGATTTGTACAGAAATAGAAAATGGTCCCAGCCTTCGATTGTCCAACTTGTCACAAGGATGAGTGGTCTTGATATTGCGATGAAGTAGCCATATCTTATCACCCAAGACGAATGATGGTTGTATCTTTCGATAGACATCCGCATTGGCCTTTTGTTGTTTTTGA